AGAAGGCAGTTTCTAGGTTTTTAACAAAATAGCAGCTACAGGGTAAGTATTGTTCTAGAAAAGTCCTGGTCAGGACACCTAAAGCAGAATAAAAAGGACTGTGGTTTGGCCATAAAGATTACTTGTGTTTAGACATTTATAAAGCCAACAAAACAGAAATAAAGATATGTTGCTTATAATGAGAAGGGACATCAATCTATGGCTTTGTGTAAGAAAGACTAACCATATTAGACTGTGGCCTTGAAAATAGGGAGAGTATCTTATTCACCCTTTTTTGCCTAGAACATAGCTCCATCCCTGTCAGTTACAAAATGAACAACTAAGTAATTGTAAGGAAAACTATAGAGTGGAAATAATAAAGATAAAATCCATCATCAATCTATTAAAAAACAGATACAAGCGTCTATAAAGTTTAGCTTCTGATTATTGACCATTTCCTTTATTACTGCATGACACACAACAAAGCTAAATTCATTTTTCACTGAATTGGGATAAAGCTACATTTGGGATGATCTAATTTAATATACAACCTATGTCATAGCATAAATAATTTGATGTATGAGTGGGGCCAAGGGCACCACAAAAATACATGCAGACTTTTTAAAATTTGTATTATTTAAGAGATGGGGTCTCACTTTGCTGCCCAGGCTGGAGTGCAGTGGTGCAATCATAGCTCACTGCAGCCTCAAATTCCTAGGGTCAAGGGATCCTCCTGCTGCAGCTTCCTGAGAAGCTGGCACTATAAGCATGTGCCACCATACCTGGCTAATTTAAAAACAAAATCTTTTGTAGAGACAGAGTCACCATGTTGCCCAGGCTGGTCTAGAACTCTTGGCCTCAAGTGATCCTCTTGCCTCGACCTCCCAAAGTTCTGGGATTATAAGTGTGAGCAACTGCACCTGGCCAGTCGTTGTATACAGCAGCAGATATTAGATATTATGGCAAGTCTGTGTGACTACAATTTGAATTAAGACATACTGGACACTAGAAAACAACGAGGGTTCCAAAAATATGTGCCCAAATAGAAATAATGAAAGCAGACTTTCCAAACAGTAGGCAGCGATGTGCAGTTAACTTGCTTTTCATGTGAATAATTCTATGTAGCATGCTCCAGAGTATCAGAATTTATTCATCTGTCCCCTAGACATTAGAACTAAAAATATGGCACATAAACTCTTATTTCAAAGCCAGAAATTTTAAAGACCAGAATTAATTACTATACTTGTAGAAAATTATTATAACACTGATGTTATTTTTTAAAATTAAACTTTTGATGAAGGTATGAATGAATAATAATGGGGTTGTCTATGAAGAGGAGAGAATGAAAAAGCTCAGCTTACCAAGATGAATGCTCCTCTGTCTTGATGGGCTAAAGCCTTGACGATTGCTATTGGGAAACTTGACCCAGTTGGCTGCCAAAGTACTACACATCAGGCTGCAGATCATCAAACAGATTCTGAGCAGCATTCCCTGGGGCATCCCCTAGTGCAGAAAGCAATAAAAATCAAGGAGGACAGATGCTCTTTGTGTTTTGTGTCTGGTCAACAGTGGGATATCTAAAGGCAGATGAGTATCTTGGATGGAAGCAATTACAAGATTGAATTCCAAATCTTAGACAGGAGAAAGTTAAAGAAAGCAGTTGCAATTTTCCAGGTTCACAGCATGAATAGGAAGAATTTGATTGCAGTGAAGTTCAAGAAACAAAGGGGTTTAGGAAAGTTGGTTAGTGTATGTAAATACCATCTCTTAGGACTAGGTACAAGAGATTCCAGAGTATAGAATGTAAAGGCGCATAACAAGACCAAATGGCTTTTGTTGTTGTTGAGACAGGGTCTTGCTGTGTTGCCCATGCTGGATGGAGTACAGTGGTATGATCATAGCTTACTGCAGCCTTGACCTTTTGGGCTCAAGTGATCCTCCTGCCTCAGCCTCTCAAGTAGCTGGACCACAGGCATGCACCACCATGCTGGCTAATTTTTACATTTTGTGTAGAGATGGGGTCTCACTGTTGTTGCCCAGAATGGTCTTGAACTCCTGGGCTCAAGTGATCCTCCCACCTTGGCCTCCCAAAGTGTTGAGATTGTAGGTGTAAGCCACTGTTCCTAGTGGCTTCTTTCATTCTATTACTAGCCCTAGCAGATAGGAACTTTTATTTTACTCATGCGTAAGTGTTGGGACTGAGGTTCAAAGAAGTTAGAAAACTTGTCTAGGGTCACATGGTTAGAAGGGGCTGGACTCCATCAGTACTCTTAATTGCTTAATAGTACTTACCTCAAAGATTATGAGATTTAAAGTGTTGTCAATGTAGAAAAAAACCCAGCAATTTTTAGTTCTTTACAATAAACAAGAGCTCAATGGTTAGGCAGTTAATTGGTGTCTCATTTGTAAACCCTGGCTTTTTGAGTAGTTTTCTTTTGACATTTTCTAATAGCATATGAGAGAGTTCATGAGTCAATATTTATCAACTGATAATTTTGTTGTGATAAGTTTTGATATAGATTAATCAAATTCATTTTTTGATAATCTAATATGTACCTAGTGGGTATTCAGATTCATAGATTTCATGAAAAAACTAATATTTGTTTTACATTAAGAATATAACATAGATGAGATTACAAATGTGAACAGGAAAAAGGAAAAAATAATTTTTTTCTGAGTATCTTACATTCATTGGATGAGACTTGGTATAAATGGCCTGATGTATGTATGTGAAAGAATAGAGGACTTTTAAAGGACCAATTCTATGCTTTATGTGGAGAGAGGAACTTTATTTATAAGGTATAATTTAATAAAGATGTATTTTTCTTTGGAAGTAATTATGATCCTCCTTTACTCTAGAAATAAGAAAACTGAGGCTAGGAAAAATTATGTGACTTCACATACTAGGGTTTGAATTCTATTGTAAAACATCTCTTTCACTATATCACACAGCCTACTTAAAGCAAAAAAAAGATAAGAGGCCAGTCAGGGTTCATTGCATGAAACAGAAACCACTCTAGGTACTTTAAGCAGATAGGGATTTAATTCAGGGATTTTGAAGCTTGCAAATTTATTGGAAGGGCCAAAGGAGCAAATTCTAGGATGAACCTCCTAGATGATTCTCAGAAATATGCAGAGGTGATACCTTTGAGCCACCATTAGACCTATGTCAGAGCAAGAACTCCATCCAATGCTTCTCCAACTGTCTGAGAAATCTGGAGAATGGACAATTAAAATTGTCCTCCAGGGAAATTAAATCAGGAATCTACTATTACTACTATTGCTTTGGGATGTCCAGGCAGCTGGAGAGTGGATAATGTAAAGTTTCTGCAGGGAAGTTCCATGTTTCCATGACTGTGCTAGCCAGCAGCAACAGCCAAGAATCATAGGAAGATGGTCTTTGCCTCAATTCTCTCCTCCACATATTACCTGAGCATATTAGCAGAGTAGAACCTGATTTGCACATAATACCGTAGTTGCAAGGGAGTCTGGGAAATATAAATTTTAGATTTCCAGCTTCTCAACTAGAAAGAGGAGAAAATGGAGGTTGAGTAAGCCATTCCAGAAAAGATAATATTATTATTATTGGTTAAAAATGTAATAATTATTGCCATCTGAATATTCTAACTCAGGGCACCAAAAAATGAAAAGCTGATACACTTTACAATGATTACTCATCTTTCAGTCTTTTTGCTACTCTTGGTGTCTGTAGGACACTCCTAACTGAGTAGGACCTTTGCTTTAGACACAGCTGTTGTTTTTTATCAGTGTGGTAAGCAGTTTATGTCTAACAGCAGTTTTCTGGTCCACTGACTGTACTGAAATGCAGCACTTTACCAACCATGAACTCTGACATATTTATATCAGGTTTTTAATCTGAAAACATGCAAAAAGAGTCTTCTAAATATAATTTATTATCAGAACAACTCTCACGTAGGTGTTGAATAGCATATAAAATTTATATTTGGGCCTTGGATTTTGTCCTCCTTCAAGAGACATAGTGACATCAGTAGGTGAACTGAAGGTTGAAATCCCAATTGCTTTGAAGGGACATCAAGCCTTATGAATTTGCATTAGTACTAAAAACAGCAGGGTAATAGTATAATTAACATGTATAAGATTCCATTTTTAAATACAAAGCAAAACCTAGGATGAACTTTACAAAGGACCTTTGGATAAACCCTCTGTTATGTCACAGCTAACAATGTCAATAGCCTTAGCTATTGTAGATGAAGATCTTGTTTCTGCAAGTTTGTGGGCTTTTCCTGAATTCCCAATATATACTTTATTATGTCTGATCTTTTATTCCTTAACTGTTTCAATTATGTACTATTTAATGCCACCGTTTTAATTTTTTTCCCCAAAGTATTCAGTTCCTAAAATTGAATAGGAACTTCACATGCCTACATTTCGTCTGAAGTGTTTATATGCTTTAATTAGAGTAGAAATATTTCCTAGCTTTCAAAGTACTTCTATGCAGACCATAATCCAAAGCAAAGGGGAAAATGCTACTATTTAAATGACTGCTCTGTTCTAAAAGTACTCAAGAAAATTTAACTTTCAGCTGAGTACTAGACTAAACAGTAACAGAAATTTCGTGGTAGTAAAAGATGATTCAATATTTTGCACTCAGTGATTTCAAGTGTGCTTCAGTTTTTATTTTAATTTTTTCTTGTGAATATTTCATCAATAAGATTGTCAAAATAAGTTTCTAGGAACTTAGCTGTTAATCAGTGAAAAGAGAAGAAATACTTAAGGATAAAATTGATCACATTACACAATTACATTACAGATAAGTGCATATAACAGAGAGTGGACTTATTACATGGCTAAGGGCTTCTGAACACTAGCAGTGGCTCAGTTGTAGAATATTTTTGTGAGTGTACGCTGGAGTAATGTGGGCCTAAATATACATGAATGTTTGTGCTCTAGGGGATTGTCAGTCTCAGTCAATGTATCTGGGAGAGCTATGTTTCTGAATCTTTCTTGGTCTATCATGTATCATATATGAATGTACATTAGTCAAAGGGTTTGAGTATGATAGAATATGACTTTGTGTTTATGTGTCTATGTCAAAGAGCATGCAAACTGGTGCATGTTTGCATTTGGATGAAGCTATAATCTTATTTATTTCTGTTGTATTATTGTTTCTAAAACATTTGATTACCAGTATTGATTACCAGTGTCCTACTTTGTTTTCTGCCATCCTGGTCACTCACCATCACCAAGATGGAACTTTAATGATATCTCTCATGTCATTGCTGTTTCTAAAGCCACAGACTCAGGATCAGGAATCAGGAATCAGAAGACAATATTAATGATAACTTCATCCTCAAGCACCATGGACAAAGCTATAGATGTACCTAATGCTTCAGCAAAAATGTACAGTTATGATGTCATTGCTATTTTATGTTTTTATCCACTATCTTACAAGTTGATTTTAGCCTGCAATAAGCAAAATAATTCTGCTCTGCATAGTTCTCCCATATCTCCTCTTTCAGTAGATTTGAAACTTATGAAAACACTTTGCAATTTCTAATCTTTTCTCTTTATCTTAGGGATAAATGAAAAGAAAACCAGAGTAAGTTGCATATCATCTTAGCTGAGAGAAAAGGGGCTGCAGATCTTGGATCGGAAGATGAAGCAGTTATCATTAAGGGTTAAAAGAGGAATCATGAAAAATAATAAACAGACAAATTCTGGCTATGTTTACTCGAAGACATCAATGAAGATTTCAGTCATTAATTTGTGATACTGATATATTTTGAAGCACAATTGGTCACAGCAGTGGCAAATGATTCCATGAATAACATAGTAAGGGAGTTTCAGTCAGGGTGGGAGGTGCTGATTTCTGCAGATATATAAGACAAAATGGTATAAAACTTAAAAATAATGTAAAAAATTACTCAGTGGCTTTAAAGAGTCTTAAAGACAGACTTCCCCCAAGAAGTTCATGGACATTAAAGTCAATTTCCGCAGCAACACAGTGCCCAGAGAATTTATAAAAACAAGAGCAAGGGGGTTGCCTTCCAGAAACATATAAATTCTTTGGTCCGTAACTTGGTTGTCTGGAAATCAGCCCTAGAGACTCTTCAACAAAAGTATATTTTAACTTTAGGCCTTGGAGCTGCTCTTACTTGCTTCCTTGGGCATCCATAGCTGGCTTTTCTCCCAGATATGTCTATGGACTCCATTCCAGCCAGGTCTTATTATGCAGCGCATGATAGTTGAGGCACAGTGAATTGGGAGCCATGCGATTCTTAGAAGATACGTAGGAGAGAACAGCAAAATTTAGCGTAGGCTAATAAAACTTGGTCTTACCAACAGCAAATTGTTCAGCATATTTGCCAAAGATTCACTGTGTTTGAAAAATGCATCCT